TGTATTTGTAGGACTTTTTGAAAAAAATTAAAAAAACATGATTAGTTATTAATGTTGCTCTACCTATTCATTCCCTATTTCTTAAAAACTTACACAAGTTCTAAAACAGAATTATGCAATGTTATACAACAATGTATCATTAACAAACAACCTATTTTACGAAGAAAATTCTAAGTTGTCTCATTGCCTCTTAAAACGGAAATTCTTTAAAAGAGCGTCGAAAAATCAAATATCTATTAAATTCCGCAAAAAGAAAAAATAATACCATTTTTCTAATATTATGTGGAAAATGGCGGCTGAAATAAACTGTTGCCTGGACCAACTTGTTTTTTCTCTGATCTTTCTTCTCAATTTAAAATTTATAAACACACAAACAATTAAGGCATTTTATTAGATACAAAGTTTCATTTGATCTCTTTTCCTTCAAAGTTATTGCGTTTCAAAAGGAAAATTTTGTTTTGCGACTAGAAACTCTTTAAATTCTTGTTACGTTCCTAGAAGTATGCAACAAGGACACAGAATAAGAATACTTTTGTTAGAAGATGGCTAAAAATGTAATTTTTTTAATTGAGGGAATTAGCGGCTTTAACCAATAATCGTATACTAAACAAATCGAAAGATATCAGACTGGAAAACAAAATTGATGTTTGATCCCAAAGAAACTATTTTACCAATGATGTTTGTAATCCGTTGATTACAATTTTGTAAATAAAATTTTCTATTCTATTCAGTTTGTTAGTAAAGCGTCTTGTATAATAAATAATATTTTTTTGCAGATGTCAGACAAAGGTTTTCCTCGACGATAAGTATACAAACTCTTATATATATACATATTTACATATAAAGTATTATCAAACAAATATTTTTTCACTTTATATGCTTTTGTTCATATTCAAGAAGTCACTGCAATTACTCCTCTTTTAATTTTCTCCTTTATAATTCATATTTAAAACACGAAATGGAGCGAGAATATTTTTTCGCTTTTTTTTGAAAATATTATGAAATATTATAAGAGTGCAAGGAAAATTAAATAATGCAAACAGCAAACATTATAATATACATACAACTGTGTTACGGGTAAAAGAGTGACTGAGAAACGGAAGAGAGACAGGGTGATTGTGACATGTGCAAAAAAAAGTTCGTAGGGTGAGGGAATGAAATGTGGGGAGTTGAAAAAGGTAAGGACAAAAAAAAAAACGTTAAGGTTACCTTATGAGTGGTGTTACAAAAGAAATGTGTTGATTGGTAATGGTAGGTAGGCATTATCGTACCGTTATTATTGTTATTCGTGGTAAATTGATGTGGTGTAATTGACTATATGGGGAGTTAATATTATGTGTGGTCGATAATTGTTTGTGTGTACTATTTGTTTTTATTTCTTTAATTTTTTTCACATTCAGTTTATATTTATTTTTAGTTAGAAAGGATATTTTAAGGATATTTAGAATATATATAGCTGTTATTTTTATAAAGACAATAATTTAAGAAAAAAAAAACAAAAAAGAGTAAAAATCAATGAGAGAGGGTCAGGTGAGGAATACAGCTGTAATGTTATACTATTGTACTTTTTGTTTTTGTTTTAAATTAACTGTATTTTCAGTGTCATGGAATGCATGAAAATGGCATTTATGTGTAAAGTTGAATAAAAGTTATAAAACACATTATTATTGAAGAAATTTTTAATGCAGTTAAAATTACTAAAAATAGATTTACAAGTTCTATTCTTATTTACGTTTTTATTTACTATTATTTCTGTTTTATTTAAAATGTACATTTGTTTGTATTATATATGTACGTAACTGTGTAAGCCCCAAGTAATTTATTATTTATTGTACGTATTATTAATGTTATAGGTGAAATAATCTTAAATTACTTTATTAAATTTGATACGAGCTATAGATTTCTATAGAAGTGAATTTTCAATTTTATTTTCAAAAATTTTATGAATTTTTTGTAAAATAAAGCATACATTTCCAATAAGTTGATAGGTTATGAATGAAGTAATGATTGAAATTATTATATGAAGGAAATAAATAGTAAATGCAATAATGCATTTTCATTTAAATTTTATGAAAATTTTAAGAATTAGTACGAGTAAATATACTCAATCAAATTAGTAAAAACATAAATTTGTTATTTTTCAATTAATAAACTCAATTTAAAAACTCCATGCGAACTTTCAATATCACTTAAATTTATTATTATAGTTTGCTATCCTTCGTGTGTTTTATATAAGTTGAATAAATTAAATGTAATTCTCTTAAAAATATCAAAAGTATTTAAATTGTATTTTTGTAATGATAAACCTAGTTCAACTGGTTATACAATATTACTTAAACACTTTATTTACGGGATTAAAAAAATTAAAAATGCAACGGATAAATTTATTTTTAAAACTATTTTATTTCTACTGATTACAATGAATGATCTTAAAATGATCCAAAAATTTCTACAAAACACAAAAGAAAAGGAGTTACTCAGATCTATTTTATAAAAATATGAAATGCCAATATAGTCTTCAAATATGTAGTGTCGCCAAAGAACTTAAAAAGTATTAAGCAACGAGATTTAAACTCCTAGAATTTTCAAGAGAAAGAATTTATTATTGGTTGGGTACCGTTCTAATCTAATTGGCAAAAAAAGGAACAAATAATATACCAAAATCAGATTCTTTCCCTACCGTAGTGTAGGGAAAAAATCTTTATATACAAATTTTGGCAACCTAATCAAGCTGGATGATTTTCTAATACAAATTTTTCAGAATTTTTTTTAGAAGAATAAATAATTGTGAATTTTTAATGCTGGTTCAACTGAAAAATTAATACTAAATTGTCAACGAACAGCATTGTACTCGTATTACTTTCTTTTTCAAAAAATAAAAAACTCAAAGCTTAACTCGTTTCAAAGTCCGTGTGAAAATGAGCATGAAAAACAACGAAAGCAAAATTGGTAGATTTTGTAATAAATTTTTTTGTTGTAACCAAGACAAAGAAATTTATATTAATTAAATTATATTGTATTAGTGGGAAACAACTCCAACGCAACGCGACATAAAAACACAGATATTTTTAATAAAATTTTCCTATTCTCAGTAAACTAAAAATTATTTTCAATAATATTCATTAATTTTTAACAAATTCATGTACAAATCGTATGTACTTTTGGCTGCCTACTCAAATGGATATGTTTTCAACGAGAAGCTTTTAATTTTATTTATTTATAAAATTAAAAGAATCAATAATATAGTTTAGAACTTACAAGTTTATTAATTTTCACTTAAAAAATAAATACAAGAAATAATTAGAAAACTAAATTTAGAAGTAAAATATCAATAAATGTTTTAATGAAATCGATGAAAATTTAATGGTGGAAATTTTTGTACACTCATAAAATAGAAACATTAACAATCATTTTTAAAATTAATTTTTTTTTATAAAACGAAAACAAAAGATCAAAGTTAATATGTACGTTTGTATGTACCCCAAATACTCAAAGTTGCCACCTTTAAATTCCTATACGTAATAGAATAAATTCGCGCTAATTATTAAAATGTGAAAAATTTTAATCTAAATAATTATAAGGAAATTATTTTGCTAAAGAAAATTTTCTTGATATTAATGTTTGCATATAAAAATATCCTTAGAAATCAAATAAAAATATCTTTGCAAATTATTTATTACATATTATTAATTTGTTATACATAAAAATAAGTGAAAGACAAACATTTCACCTCATCATTTCTAGTGTATAACAGTAGAAATAATTATTTTTCATACAAAAATAAAAGTATAAGATATTTTTGTGTTTGATTTTATTTTTAGAATGCATTTGAAAATGTTGACGCGGGGGTATATAACAAGTAGAGTACTCTATATATAGACGTATAATAAAAATAATATAAATTGCGTCGCCTACGCATTCGAGTGTAGAATCCTAATGAAAAAATCCCATCTACGTCACAAAAAAAAAAAACATAAAATAAACAAGAAAATCAAAATAATAAAAACAGAAAAAAAAAATAAAAACAGCTTCGATTACGAAGGATATACTATGAAAAGTTTAAAATGTTAGACATGAGGTTGAAAATTTGATTTTTCCTGAGAAGTTCATAAATCTTCTTTTATACAAGCATAAATGTACTGAGTAAAGAATTTGAGGAAAAATTTAGAGTTATTAGAAACACAAACCAATAAATATTTATGGTTCGCGTCTATAATAAAAATGTTTTATATAATTTACTTTCTTCAACGTACGATTATTCAATCAAGCGACAAGCTTATAAAATGAAAAAAAGAACAGAGATGAATGGTATTTGCCATTGTATTTTAAAGTATTGTGTGGACCTGTTCAAATATGTAGATATACAGATGAAATTATGAACAAAAATATTTCTATGTGCAAGAAGTTTTCAAAATGTTAACAAATTAATTTTATCAATGCAAACCAAGTTAAGTATAATAAATTATTAGAGAGGGTTTCGATTTTTTGTCGTAACAATCATATTTCTTTTATAAAGAAAATTTTTAACAAAAATAATAAAAATACAAAAACAGCATTTAAGAATATTTATATTGAACTTGTTTGAATCCTTACAGGTGGGTGAAGGGCAAAAAGATAAGTAGGCGTCAAAAACGATTTTATGTATTTATTTCAGGATTGTTTTTTTCTTAATTTTTACACTTTTTCTAATCTTAACTAGGCACCTTCATATTTAACTATAATAGTTAAAATTAAGTTAGATGAATATTTTTCTCTATTCTGTTTTGGAAAATTTGAATGAAATATTAAAAAATTTTCTTTAAACAAGTGATCTTTGTTTAATTTCATGGTTTTTGCCATGAATAAATAATTCGTTCCATTGAAGCCAAAAAGTGATTGAAAAATCAAAAACCAAAAAATTATATCTTTCTATTTGGTTAAAAAAAATAGGGGTGGCCGTTTATTTTTATGATATTATATTAATATGATAATTAATTAAATTAAAAAACTTTGAAACTTACCACATGTACGCTACTTTGTAAATTACCGGTCATCATATTTTCCGTTGGTTTCTTTTCGGCTGGAGTCTTTTTGGCGGCACGTTTAGCTTTACTTTCTAAAAATCTTTGCTTCAATACAGACGTTTCATGATTCTGTTGCTCACATACATTTGTAAATGTTTGATCAAATCTTGGAATACTTTCCGTTTGTCTTATACGATATTTTTCTATACGACGACGTAATCGGTCAACAACTGCTTGACGTTTTGGTGGTATAATTTCGTTCTGTGGTTGGAATGGATTTTGGTGTTGTACATTTTGAAATTGTGTTTGCTGTTGTTGTTGTTGCTGTTGTGGTTGAGATTGCTGCTGTTGCGTTTGATGTTGTTGTTGCTGTTGCGAAATTGATTGCTGGTGATGTTGATGCTGATGTGGGTGTTGATGCTGATGTTGATGTTGTTGCAATTGCTGGTGATGCTGATGCTGGTGTTGATGTTGATGTTGTTGTAAATGTAAATTTTGCTGTTGATGATGTGGATGATGTTGTTGTTGTAACTGTTGTAATTGTTGTTGTGTTAATTGTGTATGTTGCTGTTGCAATTGCATATGACTATTTATTGACTGATGTTGCTGTTGTTGTTGTTGGGCTATGGCAGCCGGATTGGCGCTCTGAAATACTGGAAGACCTCCTGCATCCATAAATAATTTTTTTTAGTTTTAGAAAAGTTTTAAGTTTTTAACTTATCGTTATAAATATTTTTCTTATTTTCAAAATAAATTAATTATTTCTATCCTTTGGCCAAGTGATCTATTCAAAACCAAATTTTGTTTTAATTTTTATATAAATTTATGATATCTTTTGAAATTATTTTAATTCAGCTTTTGAAAAAAAATGTCTTTTCTTTGTAACTTTGTTTAAATTGGAACGTCATTAATGCTAGGCAAAAGTATTCTTAAAAACTATTGGAAAGTTATTAATTTTATTTTGCTTTGATTGTTTCTAATAACTAAATAATTTTCGTTTTTCTTGTTTTTTTTTTTCTTTTAAATTAAATTACTTGGAATACTGGTTGCTTTGTCTTTTAAGAAATTTACAATAATTTAATAAAAATGAAAGCTTTGATAAGCTTCCCTCGATCGTAGTTCATTTTGTTAAAGTTTTGGCGTCTTTTCAATCTGCCTGAAATTTCCTATTTTATTTCGTTGAATTTTTCTCATTGAAGAATTTTTTTCTTAGTTTAATTTCTGTATCGTAATCGATATTTTTTAGCAAATACCTGAAATAAAAAAACATTGTATAAATTAAATTAGTAAAAATTAATTAGAAATAAATATTTTTAACACAAAAATTATTGAATAATATATAAAACTTGTGACACTGGTGACAGGGAACTTTTAGGAATAATTTTAAACAAAAGAGTTTACAGTTTATCATTTCTGCAAAAATTTTTTTAATTATTTTTATTGAAATTTTTAAGAAATCGTGAGCGCAATAATACCATAAAACCTTAATTTAAAATTTACTCAATTTATGTTGGAATTTTGAAAATTCAATAAAAATTAGTAATTTGCACATGTTTTTTAAAGAAAATTTTGTTTTGGTTGCCAAACGAGCATCTTGATATGGAGACACATTATTTAAAATAATAATATGATTATTCATGACTGGATTCAAAATTAATAAAGATGCAAAAATTTATCGCTAAGCATAACATTTTTTAAAATTTTCAATGGAAAAAAGCATTTGCAAAAGAAAAATAAATTAAAAATTTTTTGTACTACTTTAAATTTTACTCAATAATCATTAAAAAACACTCAAATTAAATAATTTTCATATATCACTTGCTGTATTTGTTTCTTATCATTTATCAATATTTAAAAATAAAATAAAAAGAACAAAGAAAAAAAAGAAAAAGTTAAGATAAGTTACACGCACTCTCACTTATTGATTATCTATGTGACTATTTAAGTCTTAACATGGAATTTCAATTAACATATTTTTTTTTTAAATTACCCAAGGTTAGATAATCATTTTCAATACAGTATACACACACAATAGAGTAAAAATAATAGAATGAATTTTTAGCAATTTGAGCTTCCTTTCTTTATTCGATGATATTTTTAAATGAATATTTAAATTTAGAATTAAAAAATTTTTTTTGATTATTAATAATTTGACGCAGTTCAAAAGTTAATATCCTAATATTGCTGGAGATTAATTATGATTCCAAATTAATTTTATAAAATATTTAATTTTATATTTAAATTAGACATTTCCTGTTTTTATCTGTCAAACTATGAAACGTCGAAAAGTTTGAGGTTTGAGTAAAATATACAAAAATAAAAGTTTTGTCGACTAGTGTCAAATAAATAAACTTTCTTGATAATTTTCAGAATACGAATTTGAAGTCTGGCCTTAATACAAAAATTTAATGAAAGAAGCGCTCAAAAGAGAAAATTTAAAAAAAAAATTTTATGATTGAGAGTTTGATCTTAAAATACATTTAAAAACCAATTGGAGTGTACAAAAATTCAAATTTGAGGTTGTCAGAAAATTATTTAAAAAAAACCTTTTAAATTATGATATTTAAAAAGACCATAGAATCTTTTTCATAATAAATTGAAAAGCCAAATAAAAAAAATAATAATCACGTTCCAAAAATTTCTCTTAACAACCTTCTAAGCGGCAAAATGGCGTTGTGTGAAGTTTTCTGCGAAAGAAATCACTTAGTCTTTGTTTAAACAAAATTTATTACGCATCAACTGAACATTCCTTACAAAATGTTTGCGGAGCCAACATAAAAGAAGATTGAACTAAAGTAAAATAATTCGATGTTCTTGGTATAGTCTCAATGTTGATTTTAAGTGCGCATCATACGGTGCGCACTGAAATATTTTACGATAAAAGGACTATTTGGTGTTGTGTATTCTGAAGCTTTTGTTGTATTTTATTCTATGGTGAATAACGTAGTTTAAAAGAAAATGTTAAAATTATTAACGAAATATATTTTTAATATTTTTTAATAAAATACAAGCACAAAAATACGCAATATCAGTTCCAGTTTAAATTTTTTCTTTAAAATTCTGTTTTGTTTATTTGAAAACTTATTTTTGGAAATCCTCTTATCGCGTAGTCATTAAGTGGAGCTGAAAACAAAACAAAAAAATAAAAGAAAAACAAGAAAAAAAGAAAGTATATATACATGTGCATTTGTATGTATTAAAAACAAATCTCTTTTATCAGTAACAGACTGCCATACAATAGAAAAAATTCAGTAAAGCATACAGATGAGAATGTTAATTTCAATTTATTCCAATTAAGTACAATAAATTATACCATATTTTGAAATAAAATGTACATCGAACCTATTTGAATTTGAAAATGAATTGAAAATAAGAAAAACCAAAAATCAAAATAAAGCAATGAGATTACTTTGATAACTTAATGTTCGCCCAACATTAATGTACGTGACACAAATAAATATAACTTTTCAAATTATAATTCAAAATTTGTCTAGCTATATATGAAAATATTTTTTTTTTTTTTAAATATGCCATACGTAGACTCTTTTTTTTTAGTGATATTTTAATAAACTAGAGTTGTTGAGCAAAATATTATATTAATTGTAGATGTTTCATAATATAACACCGATATTGATTTAATTTTGTAGACGTTGTAGATGAAAAACAATATTATTTACATATCAAACAAGCAAAACATTTTTGGCGCCTAAAAGTAGGCAATTATTTTATTCAAGAATTTTTAAGAACAACAAAATCTGCGCAGGATGAAATCGGATGCTAAGTATTGAGCTTACATATTTGCAACTTGCAGATGATTTATTTTACACATAAGTATATCAAATACCACAATAAATAGTTTCTTCAGAAATTGATTGTGCGCATATATGACGCAAATTAATAATTTTGAAATATTTTTAATTAAAATTTAAAATCACTGAACTTTTAATTTTAAAACTTAACGAAATTAATAATGGTTTTAATCGGAATACAAACAGACTGGGATGCGATGCACAATTTAGTTTTTATTATTATGTATTATGCTGAATTATGAAAATTTATATGAACGTACATACATACATATGTATTTCTGTAAGCATCAGCATTTTAATATTTTCCGATTATAGCTTCGCGTTCTGACTAATTATTTAGTACATTTATACGAACATATAACTATAAAATACGTTATTAAAATGATTTTATTTTTGTAGGGTGACATAAATTTTAAGTATGAAATATTTATTAATCGTGAACACGCTACATTACATATTATGTACATGTACATTAATAAAAACGTCTTAAAGTTGTAAAAATGATATTCCATAACAGTAAATTCACTCAAATTAAAAGCTCGTACTTGTTTTTGTATTTAGATTTCTTTGTCTTTAATAATTCTTTCCTCTCTCGTTTATCGCTCTCATTCTTTATATTTTGCTCCCTTCATTACTCTTTTTTATCTATTTTTCTAGCTTCAATTTATAATAATGAATTTTAATCAAAAACATAAATACGATAATTAATTTATTTCTTAAATTTATTAATTACGATCATCTTTTAAACAATAATTAATTTAACCTCAAAATCAGATCTTATTTCGGTAATTAAACTTTGAGTTTAACTACGAAATTAATAATTGAAAAAAAAATAATAAAAAAATAGAAAAAAATGAAATTTTATTCATTCAACATTTTAAAATAGAAAAAGCTTTCCAAAAATAGTAAAATTACGCTAGAAATGAATCTTAAACTGTTCTTATAATTTTAAAACTAAATAATTTTTATTTCAACTTTTAAAGTTTTGTCTTTCTTATACGAAATGAAAAAAGCTAGATTATTTAAAAATGCTAGAATAAAAACAAAAACAAAAAAACAAAATAAAGAGAAAATTAAACCCACTTGTTAAGAATTTTTTTTTTATTTTTATTTGAATAACAAAATTAAAAAAAACCGCCAAGATTCACACTGATGTTTTACGGTTGCTTCAAATAGCTTCTAAATTTTGTTGTTACTTTCTTAATTTTGCTGAAGTCACTTAATGTTAAAAATGTTAAAAGCAATAAAATAAACACAAAAAAAAAAAAATAAAACGTATAAAGACAAAAATTGTACACAAAAGTATTTCTAAAAATTGTCCGTGGAGAGCATTTTATTCGCCCCAAAATTTCAAATAGCGGTGTATGCCCACAAAAATAACAAAACTAAAATTGCTTAAAAGAAATCCAAAATATCTCAGGTTATTCATCGCACCTCCAATTCTAAACCTAAAGTAAATTTAGATTTTCTTTTACTAATTACATTCATACAAACTGTTATAAAAACAAATCAACAAAGAAATAAAATAAAATCTTCTTGTGAACGGTTAAATTCCAGAAATCCAGAAAATCACTTTCAAGCAAGCCGAGTGTATGCTTTAATAAATAAAGGAAATGGCAAACAGCGCCACACGTTACTTCATTACGAAAACATTTTCTTTTTTTTTTTTGCTTTGCTTTCTTTTTGTTTTTTTTTTTTTTGTACGGAAAAATTACAAGTAAAAATTTTCTTTTTATTGTTTTGAATTTTTTTTTTATAAATATTTTCGTTATTTTCTTATTCTATTCAAATGTTTTTATTTTTTTAATAAATTTATATAAAATTTTTATTTTTGTTTGTCATATTATAAAAGAGAAAAAACTGGATTACCACAGTCTAATGTCGATGACTGACTGATTCAATTCTGAAACAAACATTTTACTACTATAATGATGAAGCCCCAAAAACAACAAAAATCAGAAGAAAACAGAAAAATAAAAATAAAATGAAAACATAAGAAATATAAAAAGCAGCTACTAAGCACAAAATGCTAGCTATAACAGCAACACCATATAAATATTGAATAATCTGAAGTTGTTCTCCTCTTTTTTCTCATTACGTTCTTATTATGAATGCACGAAACACGAAGAGTGCTAACAAATAGCTATTAAGTAAATTTTAAATGAAAAAGGAGGGGATTTGATTTTTGGACAACAGTTAGCTAAAACAATAATTTTATAACTCAATAATGTTAAGTTATTTGCATTTGGAATTGTACTCTTGTTGAAACATTTCAAGTGCTTTAATCTTATTTCAAATTATGTGCTTTGCTTTGTTAGCTTGCAACTTTGCACAAATTCTTAACTCCTAATAAAATTCTTTCAATGAATTCATTTTTATATGTAATTTCATATAACATACATGTTATCCTTTAAAATCGCTGTTCTTTTTATCTTGGAAAATTA